TTTTCGTTTCTTCTTTTTACTTTGGGATCTTTCATCCAACGTCCATCTTGTCTCTCCTCGCGAATCAGACTAGCTTCAGCTACAGCTGCTATCTGTAGTTGATACCAAATAGTCTATGCACTCCTCAAGTGCGTCTGAAATCTCCTATGCAGTTAGTTCATAATAGGTTATTAGGTTTTCGACATGCGAATGCTCACGATCTCACTGACGTTATGACAATTCTGTGTATGAGAGACTATATTGAGAAGAGTAGTGAATATTTTATTGAATCGAGAAGACCTATATGTTCGAAAACAAAAATAATTCCCCAAGATTTCTCATTGTTAGGTTGTTGTTATTCTTTCGAGAATAGTTTGGGAGATCTTTTCCAATTAATTTTGAGTTGTTCGTTCAGACGGCAGATTCACACGAGAGCTTAATGATCCACAAAATCATAAAATCAGCTGAGATCGAAAATTATTCGAAAATTCAATTAACCCTAAGTTATTGGGCCCTTTTATGTCAGTCACTAAATTTTTACTCTCGTTCTTCTTATTTTACATCATATTCTCTTCTTTCAAACTTAATTCATACATTTCGACTCCGCCTACCAGCACCTAGAAGTTTGTATGTAAGCTCCGCCCCCTTTTTCTACGAAGAATGGAAGAGAAGACGTGAATATCGAAATTGCTCCTCATCTTATCTCCTTATATGTACTATTTCACATATGACTTCAATAGTCATAAGCTACATCTACGTACGCTTATGCTAATTCTTCTATTTCTGGAGCAATTCACATGGATCCGATCCATGTATCCAGATGACTCTGTTATTGACGATGTTACGAAGATCTTGGCTACTGGCCCATACTATAATAAGAATGCCTATCCGAACCAGCATTTAGGTAATTTGAAACTATATGCATACTGACCCTAATGTAGTTTTTGAAGTTCTTTTAAATTCGTCATCATCTCTCTTTCTTCTCATTCTCCCAATTCACTAACACACTTACTTCCTTCATCTCAGCTACTGAAGAGCATCTACCACCACTTAGGGAAATTTTCTGAAAAGTTTCTTTCTCAATCAAATCTCTTTCTTGCACCTTGTGAAGTAAGATGAGGTGTTTCGAAGAATGGAACAAGCTCACCCTAGAAAGCTAGCTTTTGAACTTAGAGTCAATGAGTTTTGCCAACAATTACTTTTTGAAATTGCCGGAAGCTACGTGAATACTCTTTCTTCTCCCCTCTCTGAAAGACTCAAAATATCTTCGTTCAAATCATTGGACTGACTGAAAATAGAATGCAAACAGTCTCTTCTCGAACATATTTCATCCTTATTTTTTTTTGTAAGAAATCGAAAAAGCTAGAAGCTTGATTCCCTGAGGCACAATAACAAACAAAAAACATGAATGGCGAGAAACTTTGTCTTTGACGTTGTTCTGCCTTGTTTGAGTAGTTCATAGTTGTTGTTTCATACATTGCCTTCATCAGAAGTTGTTTACTTTTCTTCATGGCCCTCATACGTCCAAGCAGACCTACGTTAAGTCCGTCTGTGAATAGTGAGAGACCTCCCTAAACTAGGACATAATCCATGAGCCTTAAGGGAATTTACAGGTTTGTAAGAAGTGTTGCACAGCCAGCCAATGGACTCCATTTCGTTCCCTTGAGGTCTCATTGGATGTGTTGAGTCAAAAACTCAAAAAAAGTCACAAAACTGATTCCATGGACTTTTTTTTTATTGGAAAATGTCTTAAGCATATTTCGGAACTTATCCGTTTGCAAAGGGCGAAAGTTCAAAAGAGGTTTTGGTGTTCTTAAATTATCTGCCTGAGGGCATTTCATTCTCCCGTCTACTTCTTCCAAGTTGCGAAGATGACAAAGATTTTCCATTTTGACTCAGAGCATGAAATGAGTCGTAGGATGGAGGATAGATGAAGTGATGATTTAGATTATGATTGAATATGATGTAATCCGTTTAACAAAATCAATATCATATCATCAAGTCTCATCAATGATTTGTCACTTCATTATTACAATTATGTCGAAGGAGCATCTCTCTATCTCCTTCATATCATATAGCTAACTATATACAGATATAGTTAGACAGACGATGAATCCAATATTTCAAAACGTTTTATGCTCTTCTTCCAACTTGGACTAGCAGCGAAAAAAGAAAACAAAAACGAAAATGAATAGCAATGCTTCAACCCCCTACATCCTCTGAACTTCTCCCTCTCTCTCCTTCCATGTCTTATCACTTACATCTTCTTCTTCTTCCAAAATATTTTTATAACAAAAACTTGTCAAGAAAATGAATGAAAATATTCAAATTTAACAATGTTTTTTTTGATAACTTTCAACTAAAACATTTCCAACACGACTTGACTTGACGGATGTTTGACATCGCCAACTGTTTACTATGCGATAACTTAATTGACAACTCAATCAAAACGGACATCTGACCTTCACAATCCTTTTTATAAAAGAATTTTTCAAACATTTGCAAAAGTCCATAAATGGTTTGAATGTTTTTTTTGTTTTCAGATAGGCCGACAGTCGTTTATATCCAAATGTACATAGAGGGAATGTCATCTTTTCGAGCTCAAACTATGGTAAGCATTGACGATTTCTTCCTTCAAGCTCAACAATCACATCTCTCTACTTCACAGCCACAAAGTACACAAGCATTGAAAACATTTTCGACGACTCAATCCAATATTAGAAAATCGATCAAATGACTTCGTTTTGTCTTTTACTTGTAATTTGGGAGGGCAAAACAATCTAGTTGACCAAAAAACCTTTAATGGTTGTTACATGGAGCATTGTTCAATCCACATCGTCTCTTTCTTATCTCAAACAGCCACTCTGGTCATTCGAAACGGCCTTTGTCTTATGAACTATATTAAACTTTGAAAGATCACAGAAAAATTTATTTAGAATAAGCTTTGTGGCTAACAAAGACTTCTAGAATAGTACTTGTAATCTGTTCACATGAAGACACAAAGCCAAAATGCTAAATCAGCTCTCTAGGCCATGCTCTTCTCTTGCTCTTCAACACCAATGACTTTTGGAAAAAAATGAAAAGCAATGTCCTCAGAGAGTGGATTGACTGAGACTCAATTACTCCATATACTCTCTTATACTTTTTTTTCTGAGTGTCGGAGGTATCCTCATCCACCAGGAAATGAAGTATAAGTCACGTAGTTCTTCAAGTCAACCGATTACAGCCGTTTTCAACTCCAGGATAGGGAAAAATCATTTTTTCCTAGTTGAACCCACTCATTGTTGAAAATCATTCAAATACATATCGAACGACTTTACGTGGACGAAAAGCATCACATTCCGGAACTGGAGACATGCATTAGTCTTTGCTCGTAAATGCAGATTTCGAAACGTTTTTGAAAGAATTGAAAACGGAAACAATCCAAATAGAATATTTCTTCCATAAAAAAAGGAAATAACTTTGTGTGAGCCTTCTTTTAATTTACTTTTTTATACTAAAACGAGATATAATAGCAAAGTAAATCATCCGAGGCAGCATGCCATAGCTCATATGAAATGAACTAGTTTGTTTAGGATGGCTCAGGCTGCACACATGCACGCTTGCAGAGAGAAAATAGAGGAAAAATGACATTTAATAGATTTTCCTATTTTAATTATAAATATAAAAAAACTTATTTTCAGGATTTTCAAGTAGATATCTATTTTCAACAGAAATGGGAAGATAACCGATTGCGTCATAACAACACAAAGAGAATCTTAGTTAAGGTAGATAGGCATACAACTCGTTTGCAAAGATATTCTCTTACTCATTCCAGGATCCCAAGTTATTCAATTTACTTTGGCATCCAGATATCTACTTTGCCAATGCACGTACAGCAAGCTTCCATGATATTACCATGCCCAACTTTCTCGTTTGGATCTATCCGAATGGCACTGTATGGTATGACTGTAGGTGAGGTGCTCTTTTCAATTTTGACTTCTAATCGAATAGCTTTTGACCTTATGCTTCATTGATAGATGAGACCATTAGTCAAACACAGAAGCTAAAGAATATTTGTCAGATAAGCGCTTATTCCCATGCTTTTTCTCAAATGGATGAAGAGATGTCGTGTCACTTCATTTGCCTACTCTTAAGCATCATCAGTTCCCCCAGGGCATAGAAAAGAAATTTATAAAAGTACAACAAAAGCTATAAATATGATTAGCAAGAGAAAAACTGATCTATATAAGTAGAAGCTTTTTATCATAAAACTCATAACTTCAACCATCTCCCTATGGACATGCTGAGCAATGATGTCTGAGCTTTTAATAGACATGCTCACCATATAAGAACATGTTATAATAAAATGAAGAATATTCTAATTACTATAATATAATTATATATTGATGAGAATCTCACTACACTTCAGGATTTCACTAACTGTCTTATGTATGCAGAACCTAGCCCGTTATCCATTAGATTCACAAAACTGTGGATTACGAATACTTAGCTGTAAGTTGGACAAACATAATTCAAATATTAAATTATATCATATGATAGATGCTTATGATATAGAGCAACTTCAAATTCAATGGAATGGCATATCACCTGTTGAAGTTAACGAAGAAATTCGAATGCCTGACATGAGACTTCGAAATATATCCTTTCTCATTCGCAACGATACGTATGCCACGGGAATATGGTCATGCGCATGGGCAGAGTTCAGTGTTGATAGGGAAATTATGCATCATATCATTCAGGTAACCAAAGCGTACCGGATACGGCGAACTCAAAATACTATTTCAGTCATACGTCCCTACGGCGTTAATAGTGGTGATCTCATGGTTTAGTTTCTGGTTAGATGTAGAAGCGGTACCGGGTCGAGTAAGTCCTCATTAAGAGTAAATGCAAACTAACTTGACAAAAAAAAATTTCTTTTCTTCGAATCTTTCGATCGCTTTCGATTGAGCAACCGTGCGCTCTGCATTGAAATTTCAAAATAACGAAAGCGCGCGCGAGTGCACGAGTGCACGCGTTCATTAGAATATTGATTGTCTAGAGCTGACGAGTTCTGTTGAGATCAAGAGTTCAAAACAATAGTCAATAAGATATCGATTGATCGATGATTGAAGATGTTATCCATTCTAGATTTCTTTGTCGATAACCACATTGCTCACTTTGGCTACTCAGAGCAGTGCTGCCAGGATGGCTCTTCCTCAGGTGGAGATTAATCTGTTTTCCAAAATACTTTCTACTTCCTCATTCTCTCTAATTACGACAATTCCACATTGTTGAGATCAAATACTCTGAGAAAATACGTTTGAGTGAGCTCATTGAATTTCACCTCAAAGAAGCTCCTTCAACTTGAATTTCTCATTTCGCATTGAGAAACAAATCTATCTTTATAGGCTTCGTATGTGAAAGCCATAGACGTATGGATGGGAGCATGTATGACATTCGTGTTTTCAGCGATGATTGAGTTCACTGTATGTTTCAACGAATCTGTTTTTACGATCTGTTGCTTTCGAAATAATGAATCCAAGCCAAAATCTGAAATATTATAGGTTGTAAACTACTGTACTCGTCGAAAACAGAAAAACAAAGATAAGCCAGTCAAGGGGTTGGCGGAACAGGTGCAAGACTTGGTCGCGCATTATAAGGAGAAAAACGTTTGACATGAAAAGCACGAACTGTTGTTGAAAGAGATATTCAGGCGAACAATGGTTCTTGTTACGAAGTGTCTCTTACTTCAAACAATGCCAATACGGAAGCTTGCCTAGAGAAGAAACAGTTGAGAGATTATAATAATCAGCAGCAACCTTTCTACTTCCGCCGCAACCTTCTCACGAGCACGAAACGAAAAGCTTTGGAGGAAAGGTATTTGAATGATTTCATCTTTGAATATCTAAAACCATGTTTCTAAGGATAAATCGTGTGGAAGAGAATCGCAAGTTTGCTCAACTCATAGATAGGAAGAGTCGTTTGTACTTCCCCTTAGCCTTTATCACTTTCAATGTCATTTACTGGATTTACTATCTACGCTATGCTGAAGAACAACTGGGATGAAGGGTGTTTTCAGATTACTCGTCTTACTGGTATCACATGCTCACTGTTTTCATTTTAATAAATATTTGTTTGATATCTTCTCAAATCTCAAATACGAAATGGCCACGTCAAAAATTTAATTTTGAAAATTTTTTACTTTGGAACCGGTTGGTCATGGCAGCTACAACAACGTATAGATAGCATAGTTACAACATTTGAATTTTATTTTAGAGCTCTCAATGTTTTGGAAGAATTGAATGAGAAAGTTGATAGAATATCAGTTTTGATTCTGGTTTTCATATCCTGAACAATGGAACTTGACATGATGAAACTGTTTTCAGATGACCTTTATTCTCCTTCTCTGTGTCTTCTGCTTTGTTGCCGTCGTCGTCCTATACTTTCTCAAAAAGACACTACTGGTATGTAAACCATCCAGATGACATCTCAAGTATCTATGTCCAGAAAGAGAAAAACACAAAAATGGAGAATTTCTCAACGGAATTAGGCAGATGTCCTCAAACAAGTTCTAAGTAAGCGTTCGAATTGAGTTTTGAGACCTATCCATTCATAAGAGCTGCCAACTTATACCGACCCTTTGTCAATTCCAAGTCTAAAACGTCTTCTTCTGTAGAATCTGTAAGTTCCATTCTGCTTTTCGGGTATTCACAGCTCGTTCTTTCCATTATCTTTCCTCAAAACATTTCTCATTTAAAATTTCTATTTTAGTACTCGAAATCTCATAAGACAAGTAATCCTGTAAGTATGCACCCTTCTTTCGATCTCTCACCTTCATTTCAGCTGTGTGAAATGCCAGATCCTAAAACCTTAGCCAAAGCTCCACTCGCTACAGTGAGCAATTTCATATCGTAAATGACACTCGTTGTAATTTTCAGAGGCTCAGCGCTACTCAACTGTCTGATATAACTCTTCGCACAGCCGTAGATGAAGTAAAAATAATTAGATAATGATCAATAGTCTTTTATTTAGCCACATGTAGATAATACAAATGAACATGTAAGCTGGCCAGTCACCAGGAATCAAGTAAACGCAGAGAGTAATCAGATTATGTACAAACAGTCATCTTCAGAACTATGATGAAGACAGTGGATGTAGCAGTGGGCTCAACTTGATCTGAGAAGTCAGCACAATTTGCACGTTTTGATACATCTTTCCATCTTCTCCTCAAATGTATAGAATGTAGATCGACAGAAGCTGTTCTCAGCCCATGTGGGACATCTATAAGAATGAAATCGTTTCTTCGCAACCTTCTGAACTCTTACTCGTCTGGATACTTGTCGACACATCTCTCTTCTATGGGAAGTCTTACGAATTCTTTGCACATATTGCATGTCTTGGCACATGATTGCCGCATGATCTAATATACAGATGTTTAGATGTATATAGACAACCTCATTTACCTTAGCGTAGGCTGACTCTTTACAAAGATTTTTGACTCCAGCACAGTTGATGTACTGATCGAAACATCTGAAACTTGTTAAATAAGCCCGAGAAGCTCATTCATCTTACCTTGGTGCTGGTGATTTGGTTGTTGTTCCAATTGTAGGACCTGTTTGCCTCACAGCCAATGTTGTTGCTTTAACTTTTGCAGGGAGAGTTGATTTTTGGAGCTTTTTGGTTGTGGTATCAGGGCTTTGAGAGACATCTTCTTCCGTGGTGAGTTTGACTGGTGCTTCAGAGACTTGTCTGATGGGAGATCGAGTTGTGTTTGGAAGACTATTGGCATCTGTTGTGAGTGTTTTCTTGGGAGCCTTATCAGTCGACCGAGTAAATAGCCTTTCCTTCAAAGAAGCAGTTTAGTGGAAAAGAAAATGGAAAGAGGAGATACCTTTGGAATCTGCAGGATGATACTGTATGATGCAGCCATGGTAATGAGAGATAGGATGAGGAATAGGAAATTCATATTGTGTGTGTGTGTGTGTGATATGGGATGTTAGTCAGTGCGGGCTTTATATAGAAGTTGGTGGTTGTGGCTAAGCAAACATGGAAGGTTAAAGCTTTGGTTGGAAGAAAACTATTATTGGTTAAAACAATCATTCTTTGTATTTAATCCATTGGATGAGATAATAGATTTGAATGAAATTCAAAAAACAATGTAAAATATGAATTAGAAGAAAGGAAGTTGTTATCAAACTGAAATAGTTTGTTGTTGAGGTTATGGTCATGCTAGCCAATATCATCATTGTTCTTCCAATCAACGAAAGATGAATCTATATATAGCATTAGGTTATTTCTGGAAGCATTGTAATCCTACCAATAGCTTCCAATGGTATGGGATGTAGTAGATGCACGTATCATCGTTTTTCACTATCTTTTTCACATTTGTTCGAAAAAACTGAAATGCGCCTATGATATCTCAATACGATCTGTTCTGTTACCTCCACATGCAATGTGAATATGATTAGAATGAAGGAAGCTAAGGCGTTTGAGCAAATCAAAACCCAAAGTGTTTTTTCATATTTCACATGGAAAAGCCAAACAAGCAAAGCTGTCACATTCAATATCTGAAAAAACTTGTCTACATTCTCCAAATACTCAAACACACCATTTCGAGAGTGTTGAGCAATATGCTGCTCATAGGTTTTTTCAAAAGAACTTCTCCTTTCTCCAACATGGTTTGTTTCACAACCTCAATCGAACCATCGTTTGTCTCTTTTGTTCCCGCAGATTCCGTTAAGCGGCTTTGACCTCAAAACGACTCAATCTCAATTCAAAACTTCAGAAAAACCTTCTTGGCTGGTCAATCGCTTCTCAAAGGAAGCTGAATTGTAACTGCCACTGCTCTGTAACACAATAAACTCAGAAATTTCAGTTGATCACACCAAACCATTCGATTTCTCAAAAACCAACCGGTTCTTTCAAAATAATTGTTAAAAATAAAACTGACTAACATGTGATTGGCTGAGTCAACTCATCTTGTTGTTTCGAGTAAATTTCAAGAATGAAAGCGTCAGTTGGGAAAAAAACAAAAACTTAGCCCCGTAGGGGGCTCGAACCCCTGACCGTTAGATTAAAAGTCTAACGCTCTACCAAACTGAGCTAACGAGGCTACATGCGCA